ATATGATAAGATTGATAACTAAGTTGAGCACGAAGCTCCTATCTAAAGGCAGAAGTGCCAGTCTTATATAGAACCTTCGTTCTCGTGGAGCCTACGGGGAGCCCAAGATCCTCAAGCTCCAACGCAAGCTCCTGCAAGCTCCAACGATCATGTGACCCTGTCACGTGATACTAACCGAATGAAATCCCTGGATCGCTTAGCTAGCCCAAGCGTCCCTATTTGCTATAAGAGTACTGATAGTGCTTGACCTTTCAGGACGCCGCCTGGTCTTCTCTTATCACGTGAACACGTGATTCGTGACAGAGTATACTCGTATATAGGATATTTATCCCACCGAGTTGCTTAGTAAGTACTCTCTTATTTATAATAAACTACTACTATTTATCGTTTATTCGTTACGTTACAAAAGAGGCTTATTGTTAATTTCTTATATTACTAGCTAGCTTTAAATACTTAGACTTCTTATATATTATAGACTAATTATAAGGCTCTATTTAGTATAGTAAAAAGAAGTATTAGTATCCTAGGCCGTCTTTAAGGGACGAAAAGAACTAGCTACTAAAGAAGATAAAATAATAATAAGCTAGGAGAAGGAGATTAACTAATTATAATCCTTATAAAAGATAATAGCTTAATTAATAACGATTTTATAAACTAAGAGTAAAATAACCCTTAAACGCTCTAGAGGACTATCTACTAAGATATTAAATATTAGAGTCTAAAATACCTAAATCCAAGGCTCTTTAAGTAGTACCCTAGCGGGTGTGACGGAGCTGGATTTCATTTGACAGGATTTCATTCGCTTGGCCAAGCACGTGACGAGACTTGGCATTGGAACAACTTAAATAACTTCGCTCCTTTCAGATTCTCTTCTCTCTTTAATTTAATTTCTTCGTACCTACGGTTTTAGTTCTAGCAATTGATTCAAAAGCTGTATACACTTTATCCTTTGTTGGCATCCGTGACATATATAACCTCTATCTAAATCTAAACCTTTACTAATTATATACTAGTATTAGAGTAATTACTTAATTATAGTAGAAGGCTAACTTATAGAAATAAGAGCGAGAATGACTAAATTATATATACTATATAAGTATTAAAATAATAGCCCTATTTTTAAGGATTATTATTATATAGCTTAATAGACTTTCTCTCTTTTATTTCCTAGGTCTTAGACTTTTTATTAAATAAGATATTACCTTTATTATCCTAGAATAAGAGAGCGCTAAAATTTAATAAGTAGAGGTTAGTAACTTTAAAAGTAGCTTTTATAATCTAAAGGATATATTTATAGTACTCTAAAAGTAAATACTCTATAACTTATATAATAAAAGTGTCACGAATCACGTGCTCACGTGATACTTGTCATAATAAAGAGGCGCAACCCTCGACAGGCACATCCAGGTTTCTTATAGCAAATAGGGATTGCTTAGGCCAGCTAAGCGATCCATGGATTTCATTTGGTTGTTGTCACGTGATGGACCCCGATGGATCCAGGAAGGATCCAAAGGGATCCACGGATCCAGAAGGGATCCAGTAGAACGAAGGTTCTATATAACACTGGCATGTCTGCCACTAGATAGGAGCTTCGTGCTCAACTTAGTTATCAATCTTATCATATTAGTTTGACATCTTTGATACAAGTAACGAGTTCACTTCCAAGTGAACAACCCGATAGTCTTCTTCTTATCATAGCATACCAACCAGCGAACACCCAGCCAAGTTTAGTTAGCCAGTTTGAGTATTCGTTACATATAACTTATATAATAAAAGGGGAGAATATATTATAATTAATCGTTATTTATTTTAAGTCTAATATCTAATTTAGGAGGTGTCACGAATCACGTGTTGGCATGTGATAAGCAAAGACCAGGCGGCGTCCTGACAGGTTAAGCACCAGCAAACTCTTATAGCAAATAGGGATGCTTAGGCTAGCTAAGCGATCCAGGGATTTCATCTGATAGAAGTCATGTGACCGTCATTGATCATTGGTGATCAACTGAGCAACGCTGAGCTGGATCAGTGGGATCAGGGTGATCATAATGATCAACGAGCAAGAAGGTTCTATATAAGACTGGCACGTCTGCCATTAGATAGGAGCTTCGTGCTCAACTTAGTTATCAATCTTATCATATTAGTTTGACATCTTTGATACAAGTAACGAGTTCACTTCCAAGTGAACAACCCGATAGTCTTCTTCTTATCATAGCATACCAACCAGCGAACACCCAGCCAAGTTTAGTTAGCCAGTTTGAGTATTCGTTACAGGAGGGCGAGTAAGTCTAATAGATTACTCTAAATAAGGCTACTTAATTAGCTCTATTAGTATAAATTTTAGTAGAAGAGACTTATATTTTAAGGTTAACTTTACTATATACCTAGACTAGCTATATACGAATTACCTTATTAAGGTAATAAAGTAGGGGCTAGGGCTACCTAATTTTAGTATATAATAGCTAGTTATCTTTATAGACTATGGGCTCTACTTATTATAGGTATATTATATATAATTAGATTACTATAAATATCTATACTCTAGTATTTATATAAATTATTACCTATAACTTACTTATTATTATTAAAGTATATTATTTTAATAAACTATATCTAGATAAGGTTAATTTAATCTATATATACTAGGAATAGAAGTATATTCTCCTATATAGAACGTAGTATTTTAAACTTAAGTAATACTAGATCCTAGAGGATTATTCTTAAAGTAAAAACTCTAGTAAGTCTTTAGTTATTTAATAGTAAGAGAGGTAGATCTCTTTTAAGAAGTTAGTAACTAGTAACCTTAGTAATAAGCTCGTACTACTCTTACTATAGTATTAATTACTTCTCTTATAAATCTTCTTTATTATTAGGCTTGTAATTCAACCCTTGTTGTTTCGTAAGCTTCTTTAGCTAAGCGGTTCCTTACTCCTATTAGAGTTCGCTAGTTATAAAGGTTTTATTCTATACGTATAAACGTACGATTACCTACTCTAGTAAGATTTATAGTATAAGCCCTTTGTAATATACGTTTTAGAGGTTTCGGAGGTACAATTAAGGCTTATTGTTTTAGATTAACTGGATTTAAAAGAGCTAATAATCGTACTATATAGAACGATAAATATAGTATTATTAATAGAGGAGTATACTCCTATATAGGATATTTATCCCACCGAGTTGCTTAGTAAGCACTCCCTTATTCACAATAAACCACTGCTATACAATACATGTAAGATTCTACTGTCAAATTGTCAAAAGGCGTGGTACCACCTAGTCACCATGTCAAAGTATCGAGATAGTCTCGGAGCTCATATGCTTCCGAGTACTGACAAACACAGAAGACTTACTAAGAGCATATATACATCCCACTCCTAATCATCCTTCCCATCCTTCGAACGTTTCTCCAAGAACCGGCTCATGAATTTCTGGGCAACAGCAAGAACCTTGAGCCTCACGGCTCTTACATCCCATTGATCCGCCTCATCAATAGCCACAAATCTCCTGATGAGGAGATTGTAGATGAATCCAAAAGATAGCGCCATGACCGTACTCGTCAAGATAATGACGTTATACGGCATACTGAAATCTGGTGTCGGGAGAGGTAAAAGCAAGGAGGTTGTGCGGATGGCAATGTCTCCAATGGTGATGACAGCTGGTGCGATGTCAAATCCTCGATTTGCATCAGGTGGATATTCGGTATATCTCAAAATAGCCTTCTCAAAATCATAGGTGAGAACAACGGTCGAATTCGCTGGGATGAGAATTCGAATTTCGAGTTGAGTGCCTCGTTTTCGGTCCAGGGCTGGTCGATAGTACATTTCCTTGATGATATCTTCTTCCACCCCATTGATTTTAGCTTTCAATGTGTGAAGATAAAGTTTCATAAACCATGGCAATGTTTCCAAGTAAACAAATTCGATAGCATTTGTAGACGAGGGGTTCGTCAGAATAGCTTGTACTCCTCCACTTTCTTGGCCGTAGCCAATAAATGACCGCTCGGCGTAAAGTAGGGGTTGCTCGAGCGGTGATTTTTCTGAGATTTCTTGTTGTGGTAAGATAATTTCAAAATCCTTGTCTGGAGAGAGAGCAAAACATCTCTTGTATCCAGACTCATCTTTATGTTCGTGTGCTCCCTCTGAAGCGTATACATGTCGAGCATGTGGAACATTTATGCATACAGGATCAATTCCATCATCCGCCAAAGGACATGTTCCTTTGAGAGGGTGGCCGAAAATATGTGATAGAATCCATTCCTCCTCTTGAGCGGCTGCATCGAGAGGAAAACAAGTATCGTGGGAATGGTAATCTTTGGATAAATCACATCTCAATTCTTCATAGGAGACTGGTCGTGGGATTGGGTTGTCTAATATTTTAGCAGGAAACTCTCTCTGGGATCGAATAAATACGTACCTCGTGGACGTTTGGATCTTTGAAGATCCAATACCATATCTATAGTTTGTGTAATTTGAAGCTGGCAGTCACTCGAGCCCGGTTCACAGATTGGCTTTACATCAATCGACATGCTTTGCCAAGATGCATCGAACAATTTGTGGCCGTCAAGAAGACTTGAAATACCGGCCTTACCTTTGCAAGGAAGCAGCTTTAGGAAAGGAGTCAAGTTCTCTGTACAAACTACCTCCCTCGGTAACGTCCCATGTAAAAGATGCAGATTATCAAGAGTGGAGCTCGAATGGTTTCCTGCAGGTTCAAAGGACATGACCGGTCGAATCGTTCTCGTAGAATCGATAAAGTTTAACGAGGCACAGAAGAGGCCAGAAAGCGCATTGGTTAAAGTCAACCACCTACCGTCTGCTCTATCAACGGGTTAGCTATTGCCATTCTTTGGAAGCAAACTGGACTTTCTTACTCCTCGTCACTTTCTGCCTCAACCCAAGCCCATAACTCAACTCCAGTACCGCCCTCTCTTGCACCTCCCCATGGCCTGGCTCCCCAACTCTCGGCATCCCATCTCCCCAGGCTGAACCTCAAATGTAATTCCCTGGTGTTGGCATGCTGCAGAATTTGCCCCAATGATCGTGGAAAGTATCTGAAATTCTGTTGTTCAAATGAGGTCAAGCTGGTATTGCTCTGGAAATTGAACGAGGCCAGGAGGAGGGATGGGTGGAGAGAGCGCAGGTTGAGTTGTTCGTGATAATCCGAGGAAGCAGTCGCATGGGGAATGGCGGCGCTGAGCAAGAGCAGTAGGGACAGTATGAGACGCATGGCAACCAGCGCCTTATTTCCCCACATGCATTGAGGTTGTAGATATTGGAGAGATCGTAAGGTTGTCAACAATTGGCAGATGGGTGGATGTTGGTGTTGTCTTCTAAGCCTGAGCCGCGAGGCTGACAATTTTGTCTTTCGGCTTGCCGTGCCTCGCGACCTACAATCCCCAAAGCTTCAAGCCTCTGTACAACTATCTACACAACACCACCATCGCACCTCACAGCTCCAAAATATGGCAGCAGAACAAAGGAAGCTGCTTGGTATGTGTATATGCTTTTTCCTGTAAACCTTTCCACCCTTTCACTTTGAGACTCGTCGTGGCGCATCTTTTCCCATCTTTCATGGTCAACATCTAACAATTCCATAGAGCAGTTGATGGGCGCTGGAGCCTCTTCACGCGCCGCCCAACTCTCAATTACGGATCCAAAAGTATGCCGCTCCTTCCTCGCAGGAACATGTCCTCACGATCTCTTCACAAACACCAAACAAGACCTGGGACCATGTTCAAAGGTTCACTCCGAGCCCCTCAAAACAGAATATGAAGCTGCGTCCCCAGCCGAAAAACAAAAATGGGGATTCGAATACGACTACATGCGCGATCTCCAGAAGTACATTGATGAATGCAATCGCCGAATTGACGTGGCTCAACGAAGGCTGGAAAAGACCCCAGATGAAATCCGGCAGACAAATGCGCTACTGAAGCAGATTTCCGATCTATCTAAGAGTATCGAGACGGGATTGTTGGAGATTCAGATTTTGGGCGAGCAGTCGGAAGTTTCAAGGGCGTATGAGGAGTTTTTTAGGATACGACAGGCGATGCAGACTAAGGGTGATAAAGAGAGAGAGTTGAAGGCCTTATCAGATACCAGTGGACCCAGCGGGCATCAGAAGTTACAGGTGTGCGATGTATGTGGTGCCTACCTGAGTCGTCTGGATAATGACAGACGACTGGCGGATCACTTCTATGGAAAGATGCATTTGGGATACGCGCAGATGAGGAAGACATTTGAAGCCTTTCCCAAGGAGCTTCGAGGCCGGAATCGCCCAATGCAAGATGACGGGGATAGTGCGGCTAGGGGTGGATATGGTGATGGCGGTTATGGGGATGGGGGATATGGGAGAGGGGGTGGCTTTGGCGGTCGTGGTGGAGGAAGGGGCGGTGGATTTCGAGGAAGAGGGAGAGGGTTTAGAGGAGGTTGGTAAAATGGAAAAATTGGCGTTGGTTTATATCTTGATATCCGGAGTTAGGGGAGTGGTGAGGAATAATTGTACTAGGAAAAATAATAAGTCAAGATCATACAGTGTTGATTTAATTACGCGAGATAGCTGGGATTCAACAAAACGAAGTAAGTACCTGCTTGAACTTCTAGATTTGGATGGTCGATTATTATGCTCCATAGCAACAAGTCTGTATGGCTGATACTTACTGATTATTCCTCCGACAACTCATAGACTATACCATTACCATTTTTACTCCAAGGCGTTTAATATATGGTCTTTTTGTAGTAAGCGAGATCGCTCGTATCACCTAGGATTTTAGCGTGTGTTTTGCAGGCGTGATCTAATTATTATCTTAGGGAGGTATCAAAGCAGTGAGTCTAGACACGAAAAGATTATCAGAGGAGTGATGTGAAGGTATACACTTTTGGACTATCGTTTCTATTCACTCCTGGAGGTTTGCGAGGACTCGTATTGGGAAGTTTCGACACGTCAGGTTGCCCTGATGGTGATATTCGTTGAATGACAGAGTGTGAGCATCTTTCTTGTGATGAGGGTTGGTACCAAAATAACGTTTGATTTACTCAATTCGCAGATCCCTTCTAGGTTACAAGGGACTTCATGCTCTTCATACTTCGAATTACTTCGTCCCAGGCGAAATAAATGTAACCTTTCTAGGGTGGCTGAGGCAAGGAACCGGGTAAAAACCCCTTTCCTCGCCTGCGACGAATTAGTTTCCTGCCAGCTAATATCAATTTCTAACCTAACTGTTGTCACAAGATTAATAAAATCCAACTGGCTTGAAGGTAAGTTGATGATATATATACTATTAAGCATACTTCGCATATAATAGGTGTGAGTATACTGATTTTTGCACAGAGTTTAGAGATAGGTTTCGTCCGGTCGGACTCGGTATTAAATCGTCTTAAGTTCCCTAGACCCTTATCAAGTACTGTACTGTACACCATTCGGTTTCCGGGACATTTTCATAACACAAAATCAGGCAGTGGGCAAAATTGAATGCCTTATTGAAGATAGAGAGAACTGTAAAATTGAATTTGAGCTAACCTCCAGAGAAGAGCTGAGGTACTTCTATAAGTGCGAACTACAAACTTCGGATTAAAAACTGCTACTTCTGGGCTGGCGTTCAGTATAAAGAGAGTTTCTTTTGATTGAAACGCCACCATGGAAAGTTACGTTAAGATTCTCAGTTCAACTGTTGAGCACTTTCCAAATTATAGAGAGCGCTACTTTTGTTAACATGATCAGATGTGACAAATACCTTTTTATTACTTTCCCCCTCGTCGCTCCTTCCATATATTACATTTCAAAAATTAGCTTTGAGGCATCCACTTTTAGTCTTGGTAGTTACGCTTACCTTGACGTTAGTTCTACTGTACCAGTTGTACGGCGCAATTCGGACCGAGCTCCTGTGGCCGCCTAGAAATTATTCCGGCCATTCAGACTACGCAAGTTTAGTTGAACCCTACATTTTATATTGCTCCTTCGATATAGATAAGCTCAAAAAAGGCTTGCTTTCGGAATTATCAATTATATAGGAAATCACAAGCGTAAAGTTTGAAATGTACTGTACATGCCGGGTGCGGAGGGGATAGTATAGAACACCTAATGTCGTGCTTATCGAGGTAATTGAGATACATAATTTCGTCTAGTCAATTAATTGTAACTTGTTGTGGTGCTGTGGTAGTTACAAATGAGTGATCTAGTCACAATCGAGTTTTACTTCGTCCTAAATATAATAATCGTAACTTTTCTAGGGTTGGGTTTATCAGTTGTGCGACATATAAAGTAGAATTACCCCCAAGACCTAGTGCCGGGACTTCCATGAAATTGTAAGTGGTGAGGTCTTTTAATATAATAAGTAAACGGAAGTTCCCATCATCCCTTGGCACGAGTTATCAATTCTGCCATTCGTGGAGAGTTTAGAAAATGGGGTTATATATGACCTAGCTTTCCGTGTGTTTTTCGCGTAATGACCATTACTCAGGTCGTTGACACACTCGATCAACAAGCAGCTCTCACTAAGCATAATACCCCCAGCCATTCACATATCAAGATGCAGCTATTACCGCTGTCTATTGCTGTCTCTATTTTAGCTGACGGGTAACCTACTTCAAATTTAAGCGAAGAAAAAGGTAGAAGCTAACATTTCTTAGCATAATGTCAAATCAACATTACAGAACAATATGCTTCAGTAACGACTACGTATTCGGTCTTCCGAACGTTCCCGATTCAAATAGAACAAGACGCTCCTGCGAGCAGTATTGGTCAAGAAATACAAATACAACCAGAACTGATCTTGAGGATTACGAAATATGCCCCGATTGTACTTTCGTGGAGGGCAATATTGTAGAGTTTTGCTGGAGTAAAGAGGGGCACATAGGTGGTGATGAAGTAGGTATATCCAACAATTCTTCGTGGTATTTAGACCTGCAAATTAAAAGATCTTACACCTTTTCTCATGCGCAATAGCTAAACTAGCTGTTTCATTAGTGGAACCAATATTGTATAAACAATGGTGCCGTTTGGGGGTGGGCGGGGTACGAAACTGGGTGGTTTTGATTTGGGTATCAATGAATCCATTGTATCTCGTCCTTCTTCATTCACAAGGTCTATTCGTTCGACGTCTTACGGTTCATTTGGTTCGTCGGGGTTCGGAATATATATCCAGTGTCCACTATAAAGCGAGAAAGCAAGTTTTTAAAATTTGATGTAGAACAGGTTGTTCTCTGCTCCTTTTGACGCCAATTTTGCTTGCTGGTTTTTCTGTTGGTATAACTTGGTGGGATAAATATAGGGCATATCGCGGTGCCACAAGGCGAACAACAGGCATACACTTATGGTGGTTGGTATGCTAAATAATCGTTGATGATCTGTCTACTACGTGGAATCCAGGCTATGTATAGCCTGGATTATCACGTAATTAAACACGTGAATATATCGCAACATTTTCTTTTTGAGAATAAATGTGCTTATTACATGTCTGTCATATTCCTGTACTGGACGTTCTTCATTGAACATACGAATGCAATAAGAATTATGCCTCGTTCAGAGACTAATCATATTTTATATACAGTAAATGAGATGAGTATAATGGAGTAGGAGTACTCGTAGCGATTTCCTTCCCGCTATTCCTACTGAGGTAGGTACTGGGTATTCATGTGGACGAGGAGTTGGAATCGAACCGCTGGGATAATTTCTTAGTTCGCCTGCCTCAAAAGAGAACTCCTTGTTGCGTATAGCATCCTGAATAAGAACATCCTGAATTAGTAATAGCTAACAAGCATATGTCATGATAGAGACTTTTCTATGCTGCCTCAATCTGTCCAAGAAGGCAAAATCCTTTGAACAAACTTATGATTTATTCCAATAATAACTCCCACAGTTCGAAACAATACCTCCATAAATTCCTCAAAATGCAAGAAAAGCCTAAATGCGGCCTAACTCTTAGCAAGCGGCTATGAAACATATATGTTTTTTATCTGGCTATTTTTTATCTGGCTAAGTTCTTTCAACGAAATGTAAAAGAACGATGATACAGTTCTAGCTGCCGCTGGGATCGGGCATAACAAGTACAACCAACCTACCCATGCCTTTAACAGATACGGGGTACGAGTCTGTTTACTACAACTCTGACTCTTGCCACTGCCTATGCATGTTAAGAACGGGTTTTAGCACACACACACACATATATACATATACATATTTATTCTTTTTTTATCGCCACTTGCTGGTTAGAACTCGTTTTCTCCTTACACCCCCCCTCCTACACAAGAAAATGCGGGGTGACATGTTTTATGGCTCCTATGTCTTAGGGAGGATTTCTCGTTTGTCCATGGTAAACAAAGATCAAGTAAAGACCTTTGCAGAGCACCCGCAAATTTCTAAACTGGTGATTCTGAGACGATGAACAAATTTCAAGTAAATTGGCAGCTCAAGTCCATGTGGCATGGGATTCACTTGTTGGTCTAGAGCCTCTTCTAGAAAACTCCCACCTCCCCAGAAGACTCCAAAGACTAGAAACAATAGTCTAACCAAATTTTACTATAAATAATGGAAACACGGACTCTGGCGTATTGATAGAGAAAAGTTGGGGTGTTCTTGACTATGCGAATAATTGCTTGGCTTCGTTAAGCGGTCCAGAGAAGGAACATCATGATGCAGGAAGTGAACAAGTAGGTGGTATTTATTAGTCTGAAAGAATACAATAGAGCAAGGAAAAATAAAAATGGAATAGTCTGCAACTGTCGGTTTATAATAGTGAATGGTTATTAGCTAGCTCCGAGCGTAGCTGCTCCTTTGGGACTAGCGTACAATGGCACCTACAAGTACGTGGGACTTAGCTAGCTACACTTGCTTTGGTAATGTAATATAACAAGAACTTAGTCATACCACATAATATAGATCTATTGTATCACACTCCTTCCTTATTTGTCTACCGACTTTATTAACGTAAAGTCAAACCAACAGCAACTGTGTAGGATCGATAGTGATTTTGAGGGATGTAGAGTACTGGCTTGGAGTCCTGGATATAAAAACTCTATTTGTAGTCCAAAAGCAAGTGCTATGTCCTGGATATTCAATGGTGACGAGGCCTAAACATATTCTCACAAGATGAAGCATTTGCAATAAACTTGTACAGCACTACATATCATTTTCAAGACGAAGGAGCATAATCAATATACAACAGACTTGTAATTTGTTCCGCATCATTCCGGATATTTTAACATATGTACATCATTTCCGCAATATCCACTATTGTATCTTCTCAAATCCTTCAAGTCAAGGTTGGTGTTGTCCAAGTGATGTAGCTGGACGCTTTGACGCTGGTCTGGTCACTCTTGTCGACGCCAGCTGTGCTAACAGACCGCCCAAGGAGGAACTTGTTGATGAAAGCAGTCAACTCGGCTTGTTGGGAAGATGGAAATTGACAATGGTTGTGACCGGGTGTCTCAGAAAAACCAAAAGAATCAGCAGCTCCCAATGCCTGGTAAATCAGAGCACCTGTGCGCATGCAACCCGTGGTTGAGACAGGACCGAGCCAGTCGATGTTGTTTTCGATCACCAAGAGACCACGGGGTGCGACTAATCCTGCCAACATGTGATGGTCGACACCGAGACCGTTGACGTTGCTCTTAGCCCAAGTGTCAAATCTGCTAGAGAACCAAGCATTCTCGCCCACGATTTCAGAAGCAGTTTGAATATTCTTCCCAGCTGAGTGTTCCGAGTCGGAGATTCTCCAGCAAGCAGCTCCTCCAGATCCGGATTCCTGAGGAAGTGTGAGGGCAATACGCTCATCAAGAGCACCGGCGACAAAGGCTCCCTTGCCGTTGCGAGAGCACCCCGTTACACCAATTCTTTTGGCATCAATCTTCTTTGATGTGTCCGCCTCAATAACGTCAATAATTCGACTCACGCCCCATGCCCATGCTGTCATGGCTCCGGCACTGTGTGAGCTGCCGTAAAGATCATAGAACTTGCCCTTCCCACGACTACCGGTGTTTGTTTGTTGAGCCATATCGTCGTTGTTAAATGTAATGGTTGCAACATTGGATGGGATTCCAAGACTAGCACCTCCATAAGCAATGATGGCTGGTACTGGGCCAGTAGCTCCGCTGGGCATTCTGACAGAAGCTGAAAAGGAAATGGACTTTCCACCCGTCGAGGCTGTGACGGAGATAGAAGTGGAAGATACTGTTCCAGTCACGGTTGGCTTATCTGGCTTATCACCGAGTTCGTACTTGTAAAACATCTGCAGGATTTCGAGTCTTCGACATGGCCATTGAGCCTTGGTTGTGATCTTTTCACCAGAAGCACTGGTAAATGGATCAGGTAGTTTGGCACTACTGACAGCAGAGTATGTAGCTGGAAGTCCCGCACATGTTGTATTCGCTTGACGCTCCGCGAGATCAACAACAACAGGTGATGGAGCGGCAAGGAGAGGTGTTGCAAGCAACAGAGTTGATGAAAAAGCGTACTTCATTATCAGGAGATCGGTATGTATTGAAAGTGGGAGATATTTTGTCCCTTCCTGCTATCTCACATCCAAAGCCCCTTTTTATATATCCCATCGACACATTGGCGCCTATCGAGACGTGGGCGAAATTTCATCAAAGCCCCACACGATTCAATATATCAAAACCGCGACCTCACTATAGCCTCATATCTATCCCACTCCGAGTGGCATGTTGTTAGAGAGAGAGGTTGCAATACTATATTGAGGCAATCTCGATGCAAGATAAATGAGACCTTCCCTTGACCCTTTCAGGGCCGTAGTCCAATGATCAGGAAGAAGATGATTTCCCACATTAATATCATGTTGGACTGTTAAAAACACAGTTCCCTTTGTCGCGTCGCTTTTCGTTTCAAGAAATTTCGTTTCTCTCACGAGGGCACCTTGGATCAACATTTGCCGCCTAAGCCAAGCAACCAGAAATTTGTCGTCGTTTTAACATTCCCCGCATTTCGTATCCAAGTAACGTACATATGCGGCAATCTGGGGCATTGGATAGGCCAGATAAATCTCCGATTAAAGGTTTTCAAATTATATATAGGCTTGGCTACCGCCCAGTCTTTTCCCCAGACTGATGATCGTTGGGCTGAAGAGACCGGGAGAAACGTTTACCCTTTCCAGCCGGCTTTTCAATCTATTCCTGACGGCTAAATATGCATCCACACCCCTGTTTACTGTAATCTGTCCGTTTCTAGCATCAACGAACTGGGAACAGAACATACGTGTTTTTTCATGTTTCCTAGATAGACTTGATCCTGTTCGGTTCAGCGGCTGTCTCTGTTTTCTTTCACATGACAAGATTTCCACATTCTGTCAGATGGTCGTGAAGCCACAAAGTGGCGAAAATGTTGTTTCATCCATGACTTGAGGCTCAGGTATATATTACACTTTGGTCATAATGAGGTCACGAAAATCTTTATATGATTTGAGGATGTTGGAATGTCAAACTACAGGGTAGACCGAGGTAATTCTGCCTGATTGTTCTACAGTCTTGATATATTATTTTCGACACTCTGTGCAGGTGCAAATCTTGGATCCCATGGCCATAAAGATAGTCGAAAGCTACTGATACAGACTCGTTTTCTCAATACAAAGGCGCATTATTTCTTTCGGTCCCCCACTGGTTTTTGTATTTATATTTAGCGATATCCCTTTCGAGATATCTCGCTTAAATAGTTCCCACGAACCCTATATTCAATGATTGCCCCCAGAAACAACTTCGACAGCCCTCCTTCTCAATACTTGCTACCAAACTAAGGAAACCTCATTTCGCAATATATACATTTGAACCCGACAAATATACTTATGGAAGTTGATATATCTCCGACTACCCTCAACCAACATTGATAGTTCCGAATACTCTGAATCATCAACCTCAAGTCTTCTAACATTTGAACAAAGGAGGACCTGGAATGGTATATGTCGAAGGAGCATACATATTGTAAGTGATTCCAGGATCAGTAGCCTTATAGGCACCGGGGAAAGCAACCTTGCTACTTGGGCCAGTACTGGTTCCCGACCCAGTAATCTTGATTTGGTGACAGGAAGGATAGAATTGGACACCTGGGTAAGTTCCGGCACCGTGGAGAGCAATGATCTCGTGGCGAACAAGATATGAGCCTGCTGCTAGGCAACTGGGAATCTTGTATTCGTAGCGGTAACCGGGCTTGGTCATTGGAGTATCGGCCCAGACATCCGTGGTACCTTGTCGGCTAGCTTCGGCAATTTTGAACCAGACGGCACTATTTGTTTCATCTGTTAGTCTTTCTTGTTCTTTTTCAAGTTATCTCATATCTCTTTATCGTGTTTGGGATTACATGCCTAGTTCCAGGCACGTAAGTGGCACAATCGTTGTTTGCACACTTTGCCATGTAAGTAATGACAGGTCCTCCATGGCTTTCAGGCCATAATGTCCACGCCAAAGATACGGTGCTACCTGCTGCAGCCGGGCCGCCGGTCAGTTTCGCGGGCTTGGAGCCGACTACTCCACCTGGACTGTATCCGCCGCATTGGAGGTAAATGAGAGTCAAGTCCTCGACAGGGCCGTTTTCATGGACTGGGCGAACGATGCGGTCGGGAATGGGGTTCGTGTAAATGTCCTGGTACGGTAGGTAGCCCTATGGAGAATTAGAATGGAGAGAATAAAAAGGGGAATACAGGGGTATGGTGGAAAGAGAAGATAGAGGTAAATAGGTGTGACGAACGGTGTATATTTTACCGGCTAAGGTTATATTGTCTACATAACCATGGGCGGAGACCGAGGCTACAAGTGCAGATAGGGCAGTGAGCGTTTGAAACTTCATTTTGAGGACTTAATGTGAGAGAGCGTGGGATATTGAATCGTTGGAACCGTTTCTCTTAATCTTATTTGGGTGGAACTTTGTGCCTCTTTATAGCTACCCATCGCATATACATCCTGAAGAACTCATATTCTCCTAATAGTGTGAGGATGTAGAAGCATGAAACATTTCTCCGGTGCGTCTTTTCCTTTCCAGCTCTTGTCTCCTTTGTAGTATTATCCTCCAAGCAAAAACTTGCAATATTCTCAACGCGATTACGCGGCCTTGGAATCAGGAAAAAGAAATGACACGGAAGACTAGAAAAGCTCGAGGATGTCTTCATCTTTGTACAGAGGAGTAGAGAGCTCCGTCCGTTTGTGTTTCCCACAGTTATGTTTTTCTTTCCGAGTTGTTGGGTGAAATCTCTTGGCCAAAGTTTTATGGTCATGATTGGTGCCGGCTTTAGTGGGTAATGTATACAGTGCGTGACGCTCTGCTAAACGAAGACTTGCCCTGTTGATCTGCTGACACTCCTGGGCTAAATCTACAGTAGCCGGGAGTGTAGTACTCATCATTTTCAGACTGCTGGCAAAGTATTAGGGGGCTTTGGTCTCGTAGAGCCTTTTTTGCAAGGTTAATTAAGAAGTGCAATGTTGTTTCACCTTGTAGTGGAGAGATATTGTCCACCTATCCTTCTCTATTTTGCACGATATCCACGTCCTTGCATCGCAGGTGGGGAAGGTCACGTGGCACTGTCTTAGACCTCTCACAACACCACCATATATTCTTAGCTAGAACTCTTCAATCCTTTAAAAATATATACGAATATCAACCAACGTGGTATCCAGTACTAACTTTTACTTCACTTATTTAGTAAAACCAACATCTACTGACACCCTTCCCTCCTTACCGCCCCTAAGTTCCTGCTCAAGTTCCTCCGCTATCAAGATGAATCTGTGACCCTCATGAATTTGCATTGTAGTTCAGCGATCACATTATTCTTACAGTGCTTGGGCGTTTCTATCAACGCTATAACCCCTTTCGGCTGTCAGTAATGTTCCTGTTGTTGTGGTTTGAGCTCGACTTTTCAGTCTGTATAGAGGGAGTTGTTGTATCTTTTTTGCAGCCCATTTTATCTCGGAGTGAACATCATGAAGACGAAGGTGATGGGATAGTGAAGCTGGGCACCGTAAGAGAAAGAGTTCACACAACACTCTGTGCAGGGAAAACTTGGCTGTAACTTATTGCCATTTTTCTCCCAAAGCCATGTTTTGAATTCGCTCAACATTTTTGAAAGCCCCTTCCAAAATTGAAAGCACCAAGGATCTATTAAATAATACAAGCCATGAGTAGCGGAAATTTCGATGGTATTTGTATACCGTGGAGATATCACGAGCGCAGTAATCAGACGATTATTATCCTTCTCGTCTACTTCATTCAACCACCATAAAAACATGCGGAAACATCTATCCGATGAAGTTTCATTGCAAATAAACATGTATTAACATATTTACCAACAATCCCGCCCAAAGATCTTTCCTTCTTCCACAAAAATCATTCTAGAACTTTTCCTCTCCCTCCCCTCATCCCCTTCCCTCTCCATCGCTCGAACAGGACTATGATGCATCACCCCTCGGCTCCTCGGACTTACCCTTCTCTTTCAGGATAGTGCGATCTATCACTTGGTATCTATTTTCATTTCCCTTGGCAGAATCTTTCTTATTCCCAGCTTTACGTACCGAATTCCCACAGGTGTTCTTACTTCTGGATACACACGCCCACTTCCAACTCTTCCTCGTCTGGGCGCAAGTACAGCCGACTGTGCACCACCTTTCGGATTATTGGCGAGAGGTTTGTTGCCCTTCTTGGTGGTAGGTGGTTTGGACTTTCGGTTCATCTTGTGGTTTTTGGGATTATTGAATGGTGGGTAAATTTCACGAGTTGGCTTTGATGCTCAGGAATGTTTAGATTTAGCTGTGGTGTTGAGAACTGCTGAAGTTTTCAAGGGATTTCTGTCGGGAAAGTGAGGGAAGAAAGGGGCATAAATACTGCCTTTTATACGTAGTTGTTTTATTGTTTCACCTGGTCGGAATGAAGTGATATGAATGGAATTTGTTTAGGTCCCCTCAAAACTCTGGGACCAATCAATGCAGGCAGCTTTGGAAATACTAAGAAGTTTGTAGCACCAAACATGAAATTGGAACTGGGTCGAATTGCGAGGATTTCATCGCTTTAGCTTAAATGTACCCTTCATACTCAAGGAAATCAACCCTCAACCAATAGCCAAAGGAGCCTAATTCAATATTGGAAAATCCGAGAATAAATTAGTCATTACGTATAGACATATTTCTTTTCGTATCAGAGCAAAACGAAACCATGTCTGGAGTTAATCTAAGCATTCCATAGAGCACAGTTCCAGATTTCAGACGATGTACCGCGCCCAAGAAACTGAGAGCCCGTCTTTCACTCTCTCGTAGCTCCACGTATGTTTTCAAAGAGAACATAAAACACCAAATATCGACCTCAAGAATCAGCAGCGACTGAAAAATGACACATTCGAGTCCGAGCCCACCAATGATTGTCTTCATTCAGGAAAGCCGTGTTATCAGTAGAGGTGTGTGGAATGCGAGGGTGAAGAAGAAGTGTGTTTTTCTGGAGGAGGCGAAAGGTTTGGTCTTTGGAAGGACATGCATATGCGAATGGAATTTGAAATCTAGGTAATATAAAGTTGTGAGGTTGATGCACATTGGTCTTGAGTTCTGTGGATTTTGTAATGGTGTCTTCTTAAGCGTGGGTAGGTGCTTTTTGTGATAAAGTATTTGGAGTTGGTCAAAAGATGCATGAATGTCTCGTTCGTGTGGTGCATAGAAAGCCCTTGGCCATGAAACCCAACCCATCATCCAAGTAGAATCTCACCGTTTCTCGTGGACTTGAAAGGACCATGCACTCGCACCACAAAGAACCCTTATTGACCAGAGAATTCTCTCAAATGAGAGTGGCATTATCCCTTTAAAATACACGCCCAATATAAATTATCCCTATCTATCCCCCTACAAAACCCAATCCTTCTCCACATCCGTCACCCCCTCAGTACCGACTAAAAGCAAGAACTCCAACCCAAGGAACCCAGGAAAATCCATCCAGATCCCCACCAATAAAATGTGTGGTTTTAAGCAAACAACATACAGCTGCCGACACATACTCTTCACGCCTGAGTACTGTCCAGATCGCACGCTCACACACATCGATATTCATACGCCAAGGGACTGTCCGTATTTCAACCCCATGCCTCGGATGGTGGTTACTCAGGAGCGGTGTCCAAGCCGCTGGTGTGAGTGGAAGGAATGGGCGTGGGAGAAGTGTGGTTTCTGATAGAATGGGAAGTGCCGTGTACAATGTAGAATGATGGAGAACAAAGAAGACATGATAGGGGTGAACGTTCTTGTTTTTGTTGTTGTTGTTGTTCTGTTTTGCTTTTGAAAGAAAGTCAGGTTTCTGAGATGGTGATAAAGAAAGTTGTGGTTGAGAGAACAAAACAACCTCAGAACAAGGAGATAGAACATTGCCATTGTCTCACCTATTAGTATCTGTAAAACATCTCCTTTCCATCCGTGCTTTCCAGCAATCTACACCGACGCCGTAGTCCAGTGTCTATAACCAAAATCTTACTCACCTCACCATATAGGCATAGTATTAGTAGAACCACAAATTTCCCTTCAGTCACTGTTGGAATATACTAACCCACCCCACTAACCAAAAGATGTGCAACATTATTAACATCCATCACGCCTGCCACCACGCATGCGGATGTCCGTACATCATAACCCGTAAAGTGATTCCCTGCAAGGGGACCTCGCCGCATGGTTGGCGTGTCTGTCCCTTCTTAGTGGAAACGGATGAGGGCTCCGAGATATTGTGTCCAATCTGTAGAAAGGAGGAGAAAAAGCTGGTGAGAGCTGCGGAGCAAAGGAGGAAGGAACGAGAGGACAAGAAGAATGGTGATGGGGAGAAGAAGGGCTGGGTTGATTGGGCGCTGGGGAGGTAAGGTACGTTTACGATTATTGTACATGCCGTTCTTTGCGTACTCACCTACTAACCTTCAAATTAGAGCATGTTTGGCTCACGAGGCAAATACTGTTGCATGCAATTCTTTTATAAATAGATTCGCGAGATTCGCGAGTTTTGCACGAGTGTTTGGCCAGGAAATATTGTCTTAGATTAAAATCGTCACAAATCCGGTGCAAATCTAGTTGCAAAAGTTTATGATTTGCACCACCAAAAAAAGAATATAAAAGAACTGAGGCCTTAACCCTTCAGATCTTTTTGATTCCTGCAAATCTCCGTGCAAATCTTTCTACTCTCTACGTACTACCTCCCTGTAGTATCCCCTCCTATAGTATCCCCTCCTACAGTACACCCCCCCTACCCCCCACTCAGCTAACCTGTAGGTATAACACAAAGGCATAGTAGGTAGCGGTGGCGGGGCAAGTAGTACTAGAGGGGTACTATAGGATGGACTCGTCTCGAGTATAAGGGGGAGCTGTAGGTGGGGTAGGGGGAGGGGGGCTGTAGGAGAATATAGGTCTGATTTAGTAGAATCATTAGATATAAGTTATAACAAAGTAGAAAAAACTTTTGCAGCGAGCCAAACGGTAGTGCATATGTTTCGTCCGAATAGTACAAATTGCATGCAAATCAGGAAACTTTTGCATGAGCCCTTGGGTCCTAGGACTGGTGCAAAAGTTTATGATTTGCACCAACATTTGTACCAGTCTAACTCGCGAGCCAAACATGCTCTTAACAAAGTTCATTTTAACAAAATTGGAAAAAGTGTAAAATCGTGAAAATATGACAAACAGTGTTCCATCTATACAGTATGATGCTACTAATATTTCAATGAATGATTAAAATAAAGGCCCTTAAAAGGAACATATAGTATTACTTAAGTAGGACAACTTTTACAAAGTAAAGTTTTCCTAATGTGGTAACAAGTATGTAAAACTCATCGTTATTCAATGTAAAACTAGTTCTATCTAGGTCTAAGTGTAAGCCATGGTATCTACCAATGTTAATAGCGTTCAGTATTCATAGCTTCTCAAAAATAACTTATAATTATTCTTCTATAGTTGGTAGGCGACTTATTTAATATACAACGTTCAAGTAAGACCTTGTTTCTTTAATCAATATCAAGCCTTGATATTCTATTGACTCGTGAGCCACTTACCAAAAGTTGTACAGTACTTACGTAGTACTAAAGTAGCTTAACCCACGATAAACTCTATTCTCTTTAGATTTCTCTCACTTCGACTTTTCACAAGCAATTAAATCGTAACAGTGAGACCGGGCAAATGGTGTCCCTAGGTATGCGGATATATATTTTCTAAGCTTTAGATGCTAGTACAAGTGCAACCGGCCAAGTATAAGACCTTGATGCATTCTTTCCACCCATAGCCTCACCCAACTCTCCCAAGAGCTCGTCTATCTTTAAATCCCCGTGCACCAAATCCTTAATACCCGGAAAGCTGTAGTCAATATACTCTCTTACCCCGGAAATATTCCAATTTCTCCCCCACATTTCCCCATCCTCTATCTCGAACAATGCCTCCCCTTGCCTAACGTTACTCACGGGCTCAAACTCGAAATCACATGCACCAGGACCAAAGAAACCCAACTGAGCACTGCGAGAGTTCCATTTCATTCTCTTCACATTCTGCCAGTTCTCACTTGGTTTACCAAAATCAAGATAATCGAGAAAGCTCGCCATTTCGCTGGCCGTCTTCTTCCAACTTGCTTCCGTCTCCGCATTTAAATTCCTTAATACTTTTCGAAAGGATAAATCGGCAATCCGGTCAAAAATATCCTGGCACCTTTCTTTATACGCAACCTCTGAGAAGTGAGGACGACCGTACATCCAGATTGCCAATGTGCCACCGGGCTTCAAAACTTTAGCGAACGAGGAGAGTGCAGCTCGAGAGTCCATCAGAACTATGCTTTCAGGCGCTGCGATAAGATCTGCACTATTCTTTTCGTGATAGGAAGCAATGTCTTCCCCTTTGCAATGATTGAATGAGATTCTTTCAGGAGGATATTTTGAAGATAAGAAGCGTTGGGCAGAATGGAGTGACGAGGTGTTGTTGTCACTTGCAACAACATGGGAAAAGCGCTGTGCTAGTGCAAAGGCGCCAACACCGGAACCGCATCCGACATCGTGTGCAATTGAAAATGATGCATCTTTTTTATCGTGATAACCATATATTGTTTCTAGAAAGTTGGATGAGGCGTAATTGGGTCGTGTGGCTTCGTAAGCGGACCAGAAGTGGTCTTCAGAGGAAGATGGTGCCTTCCAGAAATTGATAGGGCTAATGTGGGAGGACCTTCTCCATATTTTGGGGGCTTTATGAAACCTCAGCTTCGAAAAAGAATGTGAAAACTTTGTTCTTTGATACATGCTTGAAGATAAAAACTTGGCTTTTCACCCAGAAAATGTCGCTTGTAGAACAGGTCGCAAGCAGATGACCTTACCATGGCATGTCTGAATAGTAGACTAAATAGTATATGAACAGACATAACCTTCAACAAAAATTGTGTGCGAGGCTTTTACCGACGTAGCTGCATGTTTACCAGATGGGGTGTCAATATCAACAACTGGGGATTTGCTGGGCATAAGCGGGTAGCTGACAATGTCCAGTTCTGCATTTTCGTTCTAACCGGTTCCGCTCCAAATGTAGTCCGCGTGCAGATTTATATTATGCAGCATTATCTATCCCATGTCGATGATTGGGATCTCAATCAGTGTCGGGGGCAGACATGGACCATGTCGTCAAGCCCCCTGTACCAACTTGTGTGCTTTTTGTGCATCGGGATGATATCCACAAACAGGAAGGGACGATAAGGCAACATCCTGCAATAAAATAATGCATTAGTAACACACTGATTCAGCTAATCCCAATTCTCTTTCATATCATAATTCTGAATAGCATCCGCATCCGTAGCTGCTTGGGATCATCCAATTTCCCAATCATCATGACCGGTCAAAATCAATATCACAAAGTAGAATCGGAGGAGCTGCTCGAATATCGAGGATCCCATGAAAGCGACGATGCGTATGATCGATTCACAGCTCCAAAACGTGGTTTAATTCGTCATGCTATAAGCTATACTGCCCTAATACTTTGCAACATTGCAATGCTTGGACTTTGGCTTCATGCTCGCCAGTCTCACCTCGTTGAGGATGACCAATGCGTTCGACCAAAGTTTACTTGGTGTAAGATGTCATGATACCCTGTAGCATAGAACCATTTTCCTGACCTTTTGACTAGCTGGACCAAGAGATGCCGGGGCAACCAAATATGAACGGGCTCATATGACACGCCCCCTCGATGATAATCCTTTTGTGGGCGGCCCACGACCTGAGCATGATGAGGCTTGGGGTAAATTGGTAGAGCCCATGATCATTAAGCTTACACCAGAGGAGTATGAGAATGCGAACCTTGGGGTAGAGACAATCGGTTTCGCCGATGGATCAGGGTATCTGGGTGAGTTGGCAGTATACCATGAGCTGCACTGTGTCAAGCGCATTAGAAGACATTTGCACTTGAAGCACTATTACCCCGATCTAAGTGACAATGATTACAGAATCGAGGGTATACACATTGGTATGTTTCACCTGCGATTTTTCACCTCTTCCATCTCTACTCGCAAAGTTATATACTCTCTCAAGTTTCCCGGCTAATAGTGGCGCTACAGAGCACTGTCTTGAATACTTGCGTGAAGCAGCAATGTGCCATGGAGATCCGACCGTAGCCACCATGTTTTGGCGTGACGCACTTCCAACTTCACGCGCCCATTCCGACCATGAGTGCGTCAACTGGGATTCACTTGACTCGTGGGCACGAAGCAGATCAGTCCTGGTCACAAAATTGGTAGTGGAAGAACTGGTAAGTTGCATGTTGTTCTCGATTATTACAATACAAGTCCAATATCTTCCATGGTGATACAAAAAGAAACTCCTGACATGAGCATGCAGAATCAAACACACAGGTACGATTGGATTAGAACACCCCAAGGCAAGACAGTGTGGAGAGAGCAGCCCGAATTGATAGTTGAACATCCTTGAAGCTAGAAGTAGCTTTGTTCTCTTAGCTAGTTCGATTGGGAGAGGGATTTCCGGTGATAAGCTACATTATTTTAGACTTCTGATGGACTATTGAATATCAAGGGATTTTAGCCAGTACTCTACACCAAATACAGTCTTGATTGCAATCACGTCACAGACGATTCCCGTTTTTCGTGAGAATCTTGGGCACCACGAAGAAAAATAGATATTCAAAAAGCTTCCATAACTTTCAAATCATTTTCTACATGAAATCTTGCTTGAGTCCAATATTTGTCTTGCTCAAGTAATGATTCCTGTATCCTCATTTGGTGCCCAACGTTCAGCGTATTCCCTCACCAAAGTAAAGTTCCGACACTTCTTCGCTTGGCCCCAACCGTCGGTCGTGTGGTTAGTTGGGTCAATCACTTCAAGATTGGTATCAGCGGCACACATAATTGCTCTCCGCAAGTAATCAAAGCAATGCCTGATATGATGTGTATGAATGCGTGTACCGTAGAGTTGAGGGTCGGGATTGACGCCTTTTCCCTCGAGCACGCGCCCAAGATTCTCTTCGGTTGCATAGTAAGCCATTAGAATCGCATGCTAACACATGATTAGCCATTTGAAGAAAAGAAGAAGCAATGAATATGTTATGAGGAAGAATTACCAAACAATGGAGCTGGTGAAAAGCAACGATGCTTGTGATCTCGGGTGGTGTAACCTCTGGAGGTCGGATAAAGCCCCTGCCTATTGGCATTAAATCATTCCAAGCCGCTTCGGATTCAGCGGTTGGAGATTGACTAAATAGCAAATTATGTTCCCAGGTCTCGGTGACTTCGCCTGGTGGGACTATGAAAACTAACTTAGCGAAGACTTTGGAAGGGAAGTTTGCCTGAACATACGTATTAGACCATTTAATATTTTGCTAGTCAATCCCGCAGAGAATATTTGTTGGGAGTTGTATCCAAGGGCAACTCCTAGGGCTAGTGCAAGGACAATAACGATACTTATTTGAGCCTTGAAAGTCCTCCATGCTATAACTTGGTTCTTTCTTGAGTAACCGGCACTTGACTGCACTGTTTCAAGGTCTTCGTCTGCGTTACCATTTGAGGCGAGAAAAGGCTTAGATGATTCGTCCATGTATTTAGTCAAGAGAGGTATGGAGGAAGACTTGCTTTGTGACTTAGAAGATGACCCAGTTGAGAGTTTCAGCGTGAAGCGTGTATTTTAAATTCCTGTTCAGCCCAAGCGCTCTTGCTCTCAAAGCATATTAGCAGATGGGAATCTCCTGGACCCTGAAGATTCATGGGATTTAGCAAAGATAAGATCATGGATTTGTTTACGTACGAGGGTATTGCAGCACTCGCATCACAAGATACCACTATGCTGCTCACTGCATATCACATATCCACTGGGATACTGGAATCGGACAGAGAAGATAGTCTGTACCCACAGTTGAATGAGGCAATATCCAACTTATGGCTATGCAATGCAACTACAGAGGCATCTCTCTGCAGCTTACTGCAGATCAAAACGCTTCTCACTCGGTCAAGCTTGGCTGGCTGGCAATTGAATTCATAGTATTGGAGGAGATGAGAAAAGCAGTAACTCATCTTGATCAGGCAACGGACTTGGGCCATCCGTCAACAACTACCTCCTAGCAACCAATAAGTCTTTTTGAAAAACCAATCGGCAAATGGGTCTTCAACAAAGTTACAAGAAAAGTACTGTACCTACCCCACTACTTACCCCACCATCCCTAGCCCTCTTCCGAAGTGAGACTGAATCGGCAACGTGCCAAGACTACAGGCAACCTCGAGCAGCAAGCCACTGTTTAAGCCAATGGATTCATGATAGATACGCACCCTATAGCAATAGATTTTCTAGAAGTACCATATTGCTGCTTACAAAGGCAGAGAAAAGGAATCTCAGATATATCAGGAGTGCCCGGTTTGTTGCCAAAAGAGCACCATTAAACTCTTTCATACTTTTGAGCCAACCTAGCACTCCATCTTACCCAAGGCTTTAAATATAAAGACAATAATCATGAAGCTCTTAATTTATGTGGCGCTCACCTTTGCGAGTGTCGCGATTGCAATCCCAGTGAGCAATGGTAAGTCTATATCTTCCTTTGAAGAAGGGCAAATGTTCATAAAGGAAATTAGCTATCTCTGATGCCGATGATTTGGTTCGCAATTCGTGGTCTGCCAAACGAGAAAGCAGTGCTGATGCCGATGACTTGGTCCGCAACTCTTGGTAAGACACTACTGGTCCCCTACTTCTAGCTTTCATCGACGATGTTTTAAATAGTCCCTGATCCTTCTCAAGACTATTACTCTGTCATCTCCTGGGTTGTTCCTGTTTTCTTAAAACGTGAAAGCTAATGATCATATCACAGGTCTGCAAAACGTAGCGCTGATGCCGCTGCTGGATCCAGTAATTTGGCTTACAAAAGCTTGCCATAGACGCAACATCAAATGGAAGGCTCTTGGAACCAAGGCCGGGTGTTATTTGACAGCATTGTGGTGGTTGGAATGACGACCTAGCGAGGAGCAAGGCAGAACATACATGAAATGAAGCAGCTATATAAGACGTTTGTCTTTGAATGCTGATTCGTGATTGTTGATGAATTGTACCCACTTGTTGATTTCTACGGAAGCTATATATATACATAGTTCCTAGACATCTACTCTCTTCCGGCTATGATTTCAGCTGCTAACTCAGCAACCCCATACAAAGTAGCTTGAGGGTGCCCACTCAATGGAGCAGGAAAGATACTTGCGTCGATGACACGAAGCCCGTGAACGCCCTTCACTTTCAGATTCGTATCAATTACCGATCCAAGGGCACATGTCCCAGCAGGATGATAATGTGGAGATCCAACCATTCGAATGCGTTCTGTGATCTCATCATCGCTACTGTTCAGACTGAGAGGGTCCAAGCCGGGCGCTGGTGCCATTTCACCCTCGAAGAATTCCTGGCCCGATGTGGTATATGTGAGTGCTCGAAGCAGTCTGCGAGAGCCATGTACCAATGCTGCGTGGTCTACCGAAGTGGAGAAGTAATTCGGCTCAATAACAGGAAGGTCGTTGGGAGACGCCGATGCCAATCCGACTGATCCTCGTGAAGTTGGGTTGGTGAGCATCACCGAAGTCGCAACCAGGCTCCCGTCAACAGGCAGCCCAGGGATGTAGGGATGGTACATGACAAGAGACTCAACATGCGTGCGACCTGGATTTCCAAGCCCTTCTCTATCAAGACTGTCTCCGTCATCCGCCAGAGCCTGCTGAAGTTGCTGGGCGGGTACAGCTTCGTTGATACTCCAATCAACGGGGAAGCCCTTGAGAAATGCTGGGTTGGACAATGCTGGATGGCCAAGCGCCAGTCCTCGCTTAGGGTTCCGTAGCTTGAATATCTGGAAAAAAGCAAAGTGATCGAACAAATTAACTCCAACACTCGGTGAGTCGTGAACCAAAGGGATTGCGTGCTGAGAAAGCATGTCAGCCGGCCCCACTCCTGAGAGCTGCAGGATCTGGGGAGACCGCAGCGCACCCGCCGCGAGCAGAACCTCCCGGTTGGCCTTGATACGAATCCCGTCTGCAAGCAAAACCCCATTGGCACGAGGAGGCTTTCCAGAGAGGCGCTCAAATAGAACGCGGTCCACGAGAGTATTAGTGCGAATGTTGACACGGGTTTTGGCAAGACCGTATGCCAGATGCGAAGGCTGTCTCACCCCACCATCCCAGGTCTCCAGAAACTCAGAGATGCCAGCGAGGCTCCCTGAGCATCCATTGCCTGCCACCAACTGCACGCCAACTTCCTCCCATGCCTTTTTGAGCGGCTCACGCAGAGGATAGCGTCGCATGGGATCACTGGCGCTGACACCGGTGATTTTTAACGGCCCGTCCAAGCCATTCTGGTCGGCAGTTGCTTCTTTTGCACTGAATTGCTCGCTGCGTTTCATGTACGGCAACAGTCCTCGATAACCCCAGCGTTCGTCGCCAGTGATTTGGGCCCAGGCATCGTAATCGCCAGCATTGCCACGAGCCCATCCTCCATAGTTGAGGATGCTACCCCCTCCAAGAGTCTTGCCTGACGTGAGATTATAAACACGATTTGCAGTGGACGGTGTTGGGGCAGTGGGATATGCCCAATCGAGCTCGGAGCCCTGAAGTTTGAGGCCTTCCATTGGCGTGGTGGTGTTGGGATTGGAAGTGGGATCTGGTCCAGCTTCAAGAATGAGAATAGAGACGGAGGAGTCGAGACGTTGAGCAAGGCGCGTTGCAAGTGCGCACCCCGTGAGACCGCCGCCAACGATTATATAGTCTGCGCTGGTTTCTTCCATCGTGAGGTAGTAGGGTTTGAGTGACTTATGGGTTGAAAACACCAAAACTGTTCGAGGTTGATATGCTTGATTTGTTTATTTGAAGAATTACAAGCTTGAGCAAACGACGTTAGGAACGTTGGGGCGACCCATTATAAGTATGGCTAGCTTCGCTAGCGTGTAGTACAATCGCTGACAAATTGTGTTACCGACCCATTGCTCGCTTAATTCAGGAGGCAGTTGCTTGCTTGCCAAACTTTAAAAAGAAAGTAGACGCTGTACTTTACGTGCGGCACTACGCTCAAGCTTTGGAAAACAAATTCGTTGTCTTACTTTACCATGTCTATCTAGCATTGAATTCCGACGAAAATTCGACTGATTGCTGAATAGCAATACCATCCTCACGTACAGAATGTGCCGAACCAGAACGGCCCCCATTGATAAAAGTATTTACCCCGCTTTCGCCTTGCAAATCCATTTGAGACTCGGTATCAGATGTGAGTCCTTTACTACGCTTTCCCGAACTGCCCCAATTTGTGTCGGTGGTTTTGACCGGGTATGATTTCAATGGTAGGGAACCTCTTGTTGATTGAGATTGTTTTTTGGCAGTAACCCACAAGGAGCGATACGTGGGTAGACATGCGCTGATAATGGCACTTGACAGCTCGATGTTGGCCCAGAAGAAGACCGGTGATGTGAAGTCTGCAAACTTCAGTATTAGCATTTGTTTTAGAAAGTTAGTACTGTTCGCCTTTAGCATCATCACTTACAGGTTTCATCGGTATAATGAGCAGCGAATCCTTCTCCTACATGATAATAAACTATCATACGAGTCACGCTAAATGCGCAAACACTAGTGAAAAGTCAGTCTCCAATTGAACTGAGGAACCCGAGTGGCCTTACGTGGCTCCTAGCAAAAACATTGCCAAAACTCCAATTTTCTGCTTGGGTCGTAATTTTAGGTGGAGTACCATGGGGATGGGCATAGCAAGGATCAATATATCAACGATCAGATCGGAAATACTCATCGCATACCACATGCTAATTGCGTCTAAGCATTTATGACCATAGAAGGGTTCGACAAAGGGGGTGATAGGATAGCACGTAAACAAGTTGGCAAAGAAGAAAGAAACTGTCCACACTATGACGATGCCTAGCATTACTCGTACCGCGATGACGAACTCCTTGCCTCTGAAAATACTCATGTAGAAGACCAATATGGATGATTTTGTGAAACCCAAGCCCACAGTTGAAAGCATGTTGACGGCAAACTTTGTCTAAATAATTGTCAACATCATTTTTGTCTATGTGTAAGGGGACACCTTTACCTTTTCGTATATTATGAATTTTGGATCATCTAGAAGCGGTTGTCCATCCAACCCAACGGTTTGATGTTGTCCAAGTTGCCCCTTCGTTGCCGCTGTAGGAGATCAGCGAAATAATTCCTCTAGAAATGAATGGAAGCAAAGAAATTCCCAGAACTTACCGACCAGCTGCATTGAACAACAGCCAATTGCAAACGCCTTATGCCATATCAGCTACCTATGGACGATTCGCGCATTTAGAGAAGACCTACCAAAGCGACTAGAATTAGATAATCATCTAAAACAATGGTTCCCCGACTGAGAAGCTTTGCCCAGATTCTCAGAGTAATGGCGACGATTGGCAGTATGATAAATGCTATTCCAAGTCCAATCATCTGGGACTTGGAATAATTGTCTGCTATGAAAATCATGATAGGCAACGTTGAAAGGTTGAGCAACAGCGAGGTTTTGTGGAATTCGGTACAGACTGGACGAAAAGTTTACGGGAGACGGGAATTTGTAGTGGACAGAGTCAAGTGCAACGAATCATAGTACCCTGATTTGAACGTAGAATTCATCCCCCCGAGGTGAGAAATATGCTGGTTTGGATGGCCATAAGGATTCTGTGCAGTTTGATTAATTTGGGTCAGGAAATGCACTGGGAAATCCTACAGTATGAGGACATGCTTCAGTTCTGACTTGTATCGGGTACTTGTCACTAGGGTTTAAGAAATCCTGCAAATTTAGGTGGCGAAGGACAGGACTGTAAGAGGAGATTCCTTAAGCCACCAGAAACCCTTTAGCACGGTGCCCTTGTATCTACCTGGTACCCAGAGGTCTGATTCTATAGTAGCGGAGTAGTGGGGGTTAAGGACACCAAGTATGTACAGTAGTGTGCAGCGTGCAGCGTCTAAGCAGGTAGGATAGGGTAGGGTAACCAGGCTCAAGGTTACGGTCTCTTTACCAGGTATATTTTTAAAGGATCGTGTTGAATTATTGGGGCATCTTTTCTTATTCCAAACATGCCCCAGTACTTTAAGCTCGTCACATACCTGTTACGGTACTTGAAGCCGAGATAGAGGAACCAATCACCTATAAACCTCTCTAGGGAGTTTCAGTGGCTTACATCGTGAAAATAGCGAATAAGGTTTCAACCTTATAATCCCGGTTCTTTGCATATACAAATACCGGACTGTAAGCGCAGGGTATCGTTGCGGTGTCTGGTACGGTTGGTTCAAGCCCCACTATTCTAGAGTACATATTCCGGAAATGGTATCGTACCGTCACATTCTCCATGAATGCGATTGGTCGTATGCACGACAGAGGCGCAAAAGAATCTTCGCTGCGCAACAATGGCTCATTTAAAATGGTTAAATCGATATTGTAAGAAATGCTGGGGTAGGGCAGTGGAGTACGGAGCACTCCTACTCGCTAGAATCCCTATTCTTATGCAGAGAAGGTTCCGTATAATAAGCGAGAGGCTTATCTTTGTCGGACTTTTCTAACGAGGTGACCTGTAGGAAGCTGTTCTCAGGATATTCCATAAGCCCCCACCGTCTTTAACGGCATCTTCTAACACAGTTGGACAGCCAGGTTCTTGAAAAGGAATTGTGGTGAAGTAACAACGTAGATGCGTTAGCGGGTAAGCTGACCGTATCTATGACAAGAACAGTATCATTTCAATATCCTAGCAAAATCAAATAGCATCTTTTGACGTTAATGGTGATATTTGATACAGTCACTGAGTGGGGCTATAGAAAGACGGTCACTCGCTTAAATTAGGGGGTGGTTTCGTACGTATGGGACAGTACGAGAGCGCCAAAAGGAAGAAACCATTAGGGACTCTATTAAATTGTCCCCGAGGTAGATGTAAAGGTGGGAATGGCGCTAAGACAAGTGAAAGTTGGCAAGATTGGTTTTTGGGCTTGCAGTAGGTTGAAAGCTTGACAACGAGGGGCTCGCGCTGATTCAAATCTTGCATGCATAAGGGCTTCTAGCAAGTCTGACGTTACCGAAAATCCTTCGCGCTGTCTAATCTCGTAACTTGAATTCCTAAAAGGGACAATTCTACTAGGTTTTTGAATATGTCAGATTTGAATCGGGAGCGGATTATTAACCTTAAGTGTATCTGACGGACGGCCTGTCAAAGAGCAACCAATACTTTCAATACTGCATTATTCCGCTCTAATAAGCTCAGGTCTGCGACGCACACCAAGGGTAAGTACATGGTGGCGTGTCTCCTTGCAGGTTCCTGTAAGCTGGCGCTCGGGTGTCACTGCCACATTAGGAAATCTCCAACATCGTTTTCGTTCGAACATATCACATGCATTCTTTGCTAATCAGACAACCCAATCAGCTAGATTTCAGAGATTGGGGCCATAAAACCGACTGCCACCTTATCCAAAATGGAAATTGCGTACTCGTAAATCTTGCAGGTTGTGTTGTCGTGATCACATCATGTTGAGTAGGCAACCATGTCTATTATGTAGACCTTCATGTGAGATTGGATACAGGTGCGGCATGAGATGCGACGCCCAGAGTGACCAGCTACCATGACATCAAATAAAACAAGTTTTTGCAAGTATCCTTAGTCAGAACGGCACTTCACGGCCGAAACCACCTCAATATTTCAATCAAGGATATTGATTTTCCAACCAGTGATCCTACCGTTCACCACTCAATTTCCCCGCCGTAGAGACTCGGGAAACGGCCGCCTGTGTTTTCCATGGAAGCATCATCGATCTATGGAGATCACCCGTCAGCATTTCTCACAAAGACGTAAAAAACGGGATGTTACCCACAGTTTTAGTTACAAAGCCTGCAGCAGCCTCAATAGTGTCAGGGGCTTCCTTCATGCCAAATCTCCTGGCTCCCGAATTTCCAGTATCGGTCTGGACGAAACTTCGATGAATCAAGTCAGTAACAGCTTGCGCAGAGAAATATACATGGATATTTTCCACTATCAAGTATCGCTCCCCACGGGCTGACAATGAGACTGGAGTACATACCCAGGATACGCACACCACGCCACCACTTTTCCATTCCCACCTCCATGTTCGAGATTTATCCTGCGTACGAAGTAATGTGCCATGGCTTTGCTCAGACCAAGGGCTGGCAAAGGATACGGGTATTTCTCCATCCCACCAATGCTGCCAACCACACTTCCAAGAAGGCAGAATTTGGGAGAAGAAGATACAGAGAGGAGTGGCAGTACGGCTTGAAAAAGCGTAATCGGACCTGGGAGCAAGTTTGGTCAGCTGGCTTCATCGAAATATTGGACGAAAATGTACTACCGTAGACATTAGTCTCGATATTCTTCTGAATGGTTTCAAGTTTGATATCGACAAGACTTCCGTAATCGTCGCCGATCGCGGCATTGGCAACAATCTATTGAATAAATGAAGTCAGTCGTGCTTTCATAATACGAATATGTTTGTGTGCTCTAAGAAGAGCTCCAGATCAATGTCTTCTTGGTAGACGGAAGCGCCATTCCCCATTTCGATTCTTCAAGCACATATGACCAAGAAGAAGAAAGAAGAAACACATCTCCTTAGACCTTCAAATGCTAATCGGTTCTACTAACAACATCAAGATGCTTTATTTCATGAGTCTCTTTCAACACTTCGACAGCGTCCCTTGCGTCAGTGGCGACGTTGCTATCAATTTTGACAACAATAAGCTTGCTATCTGTGGCCACGGGAAGCGAGGCGAGAGCTTCCTTTGCAGCCACAGTATCGCGAACAGCCGCAATGCAAATAGATTTGGGACGGGATAAAAGGATACGGAGCAGTCCGTAACCAATACCTGGGGAGATTAGACTGGACTCTACTCCTAATAAGGAATGCCATTGAAACGTACCCCGATTGGCACCAGTTACAAGATAGTTTGTTGAGCTAGATGAATCCATTTTGACGTATTGAACAGGTTTATTTCGAAAGACTAGGAGTGCTCTTATGTTGGGCTTTCTTTTAGTAGAGAAAAGGATTGGGATAAGCTCGAGTGAACGAGAGAACAGAGAGAAGGAGTACAGGAGGAGGGGAGTGACCAAGATCTCCCACACATTTCTTTACCTTAACGTACAGACGTATCCAACGCCAGCCTTGGCTTGAATATTGATTGCCCTTGACCAAAATGCATGCAAGGCCTCCGCAGTGATTACAGCGAATGGAACGCTTGAAGTGGATACCTCTGATCTGCTGACGCCCGTCTCCCTTTTTGCAGCAGACAACGAAGATACAAACGAGCACTATGAGTACTGTAGTTTTATTGTACTCAGCGAGGGATATTGGAGCGGGCTCCTCATCAAAGCAGCACCAATTTGACTTCCAATTTTGTACTGGTGTGAAGTTTAATGAACGAAAATGGCGGAAGAAGGATCCCGTCAGGCGGGGGTCGTGCCGTCGACCTGCTTACTATTAGAATATTCTCCGTGGAGAGGCAATAAATCTTTCCCCGGTCGGTTAAGATCTTCGTTGCCGCATTGCTGCACAGTTTCCAGTTTGCATTTAAGGAGAAGCATTCTAACCACATTTCGACTATTTTGCCCCTTCAATTGGCGCATTTCTGACTCGAAATCATGGTATCCCATTTGTTCCTCGTTCTCTTATTGTGTTTCACCAACTTTGCTTTTGGATCTAACTCAAAAACTCCATTTGAGCTGGGATTGAAAGCTATACTTTCTCCAAGCGCAACTATTGTACACAGTACTTCAGGAGCACCACGTTGGAGCGAATTCAATGCTCCAGTTCCAGGTACTGTTGTCAATGTTGCCACCGAGAAAGATGTTCAAGTCACAGTACGTTATCAACATCATGTTTCAGTCATAATACTTACAGTATCCCGCGCCATCAGGTTCAATACCTTACCAAGCACAACATCACTTTTCTAGCGCAGAATGGTGGCCATGGATGGATTAATTCGCTCGACTTATACCAAAACGGTGTTTTGATCAATTTGGCTGCCCTTGATTTTGTAACATTCAACAGTGAAAAGACAAAGGCTACTATAGGAGGGGGGGCGATAGTCGGAGATGTTATTGCTGCTGCATACGCAAATGACGCTCAAGTGGTTACGGGAAATTGTAACTGCGTGGGAACGTTGGGGGCTGCTCTCGGGGGCGGCTATGGTAACTTGATGGGAATCCACGGTTTCAGTGTGGACAATATCCTTTCGATGAAAGTGGCTCTCCCCAGCGGAAAGTTTGTTACCATAACTGCCGCCGATGAGGATCTCTTCTGGGCACTACGTGGAGCAGGTCCCAACTTTGGAATCGTTACTTCCGCTGTAATGAAAGCATTTCCTGTACCGCAAGCCGAAAGCATAGCTTGGTTTGGCGGTTTATTCTACACGGGAGATAAAGTCGAAGCTCTTGCCCAGGCTATTGAAGATCTGACCCTGACGCCCAATATGAGCATCTTCCAATACTATACTACAAGCGGTGCCCCAGACTTTACACCCACCATTCTTATCACGCCTTACTACCATGGCTCGGAGGCCGAGGCAAGAGCAGCTTTCTCCTCAATTCTCGCCATTGGACCGTACCTTGATACGACATCCATCCTGCCTTACCCAGAGTGGAATCTGGGCAGTGAAGGATTTTGTACTAAAGGTGGACGTAAACCATCTTATGGCGCTGGGTTTGACCTACTGGTCCCAAGCGACTGGCGGAAAATCTGGAACGACTACACCTCTTTCGCGAAATTGCCCAACGCGGGAAACAGCGTCGTTCTGCTAGAAGTATACAGTTTGGAGGTAGCGCGGTCCATCAAAGCTCCTCCGGCCTCCTTTCCTAACCGAGATATCCGCTACAATGCTGTTGTAATACCCTGGTACAATAGCAGTAGCATGGATACGATTGCGCAAACCTTTGGATCAGGCGTGCGAGATATCTGGCGCTCGTCTGGCGGGCTAACTACGAACAGAACGTAAGTTCCCTGAATCTCTGCAGATGACTGACTTGCAGTGCTAACATGAATTAGGTATGTCAATTTTGCGTATGGCGACGAGTCTAATGAGGTTGTGTATCATGATAGTACTCCTAGGTTACAGCGATTGAAGGCCAAATATGACCCACACAATATCTTCAGCCATTGGTTCAATATTAGGTCCGACTGATTCGCATATATCGTCTGCCAAAACATATATCTGTACACCTTTTACTAGAAGCTGCCCTGTATGATATTTGTAAACAGATTTTCCATTCCACGTTCATCTTTCTAAGCTGTGAAGTGAATTGGAAGACCAACACTAGCAGCCTAATCGTTCCTTGCTCGTTTTCTAGCAAACCCGCGTGAAAGATATACTACATACAAGGTGTTGGAGTCAAATCAACTCACAAACCCGGTCATGAGTAAATGACTATTCTCAACCGGTATTACTAGAAAGGGACCTCTAGACTTTGAAGTAGAGGTTAATACCATCTATAAGTATTACCTAGTAAACAAGAATTAAACTTTACGAAGTTCAAACCAAGATAATGAGAATAAACCCCGAATTAAGATATAGAAACGAAACTAAAGTAAATACTAGGCGCTAGAGGATATAATCTTAAAGAAAGGGGGAAGGATAAAATAATTAAATAGGTTAATAGTAATATAACGTGCATGTATAGCGAACCGGCCAAACAAGCGAACCGGCCAAAATTTTCTACACTCGCGATTGAAATTGCAAGAACTCTACCACAACGCCTCTAATTAAAAAACACTATTCAGAAATTTCTTCCTCAGATACTTCCTCTATAATATTACAGGTGCGCGTATTATGACCAGTCTCTCCGCAGTTGCCACAGCGCCGTGCACGTGATTCTTCCCTCGGCTTCCGACCACTACTTCTCTTTATTTCCTGCATTACCTGCTCACCAACGTCTCTATCATCCTGTAGGTCCTGCGCTTCCTGTTGACTAAGTGATCCTCCTTGCTGTAGGCGTGTTTTTTTAGCTCTACGGCGCTTACTTAGTACTTCATTTGCTTGTCGAAGTCTCTGGTTCTCAGCTTTCAATAGTACTATCTGGTGCATTACTTTTGATGCACCCTTCGTAAACTGGTCAATGGCCTCGTAAATAGGGGTTGGAGAGCTACTTTGGTGGCGTAAAATTCGATCTTTAATAAATGCAGTCTGTGATAAGGCTTCAGTAGGGTTATTTGGTGTCTGGGAAACCCAAGGCTGAGCGGAATACGGGGGGGAGTTTGGAGGCGTTGGCGTCTTTAGCTTAAGATCAAGTGTAGAAATTACACTTTCTGGGTCAAATGGAAGAAGCCCAGCCCCTCGGAACCCTCCTCGGATATTGCTTTCTGTCATTGCAATATTAAATGCGGCGTGGAAGGCAGGAAAGAAATCATCCTTAGTAATATGGATGATCGGAGCCCGCATCATATCTTCAATTTGCTGACCATATGCCCTTTTCAAAGGGCTAAAACAGCCAACGTCGAGTGGCTGGAGTATATGAGAAGAATGAGCAGGCATACAAAGAGTGATAATGTTGTTTTCCTTGCAATATTCCTCAAATTCGTCGGAGTGGTGGCTTTCATGGCCGTCGAGGACTAATAGACGATAACCACCAATAGATTGGGACTTTGTATGCTTCTCAAAATGTCGAATCCAATCCATGCCTTTCTCATTTGTTGTCCAACCATTTTCAGTAATAGCAATCACCCAGTTAGGTGGAAATCCACTGTTTTGGTACCAAGAAGCGAGGTGATTTTTTGCGGCAACAATCACAAACGGTGGAACACACCAGCCTTGGGCATTAACCCCCTGGATTACTGTAACCCATTCCCGATTACCAGGCTGTACTCTTTTTGCTTTTACACGTCCTTCTGAGCTTGTAATAACCATTGCAGTTGAGATAACGCCCATCATAAACCCAGTCTCGTCAAAGTTGTAGATATCTGCATCGTAGATTCCGTACTTCGCTATTGTGTTTCGTACAAGCTCAAACCAGCCTCATTCGCTCAAACCAGCCACGAATGACTTCTGGATCTTCGCACTTAGCTCTCGGATAGTCGTATTTTCGTTGAAAGCGTGTCTGCAGTTCTGGGCGGCGCTTAACAAAGTTATAAGCCCAACGCGTCCCGACGCGTGGCGCGTCGCGTGCTTCAAGAAGTCGATTTGCTATATCTTCCACTACAGATATCCG